AGCCGCCAGCCCGCTCCATGTGTGCCTCTGTACCTTAGTATTTTACTTCAGCACTGCGCCTCCTCTGAGTCTCGGTATGCTATTCTCTTTCCTTCTAGTTGTAGAACTTCCACTCAGCCAGCCTTCCTGTGGTTCTGGGTGATGTCCGTTCCGTCTTTTAGTTGTATTTTTGAAGTGGTTGTGCGAGGCAGCAAACTCCGGTGTTTACCTATGCCGTCATCTTGGTTTCTCTCATTTGTACTTTTTAAAAAAATATATTTTTATTGATTTCAGAGAGGAAGGGAGAGGAGGAGAGAGATAGAAACATCAATAATGAGAGAGAATCAATGATCGGCTGCCTCCTGCATGCCCCACACTGGGGATCAAGCCCGAAACCCAGGCATGTGCCCTGACCAGGAATGGAACCATGACCTCCTGGTTCATAGGTCAATGCTTAATCACTGAGCCAAGCTGACTGGGCCAATTTGTACTTCTTAATTCCTTTACCCTTTTCACCCAGTCCCCCAACCATTCTCCCCTCTGGCAACCATCAGCCTGTTCTCTGTATCTGTAAGTTTGTTTTTGTTTTGTTTTCTTATTTTGTTCTTTAGATTCCACATATAAGTGAAATCATATGGTATTTGTCTTTGTCTGACTTACTTCACGTAGCATAATACCCTCATGTTTTGGCAAATGGTAAGATTACATTATCTTTTATGGTTGAGTAATATTCCATTGTATATATGTACCATGTCTTTATCCATTCATCCTTTGATTGGAGTATTTAATCCATTTGCATTTAAAGTAATTATTGATAGATATATAGTTATTGCCATTTTATTAATTGTTTTTTGATTGGTTTTATAGCTCTTGGCTCATTTCTTAATCTCTTGTTCTTTTTTCTTATATGTTGATAACTTTCTCTAGTGTTGTTTTTGAATTCCTTTCTCTTTATTTCTTGTATATCTTTTGTAGATTTTTGGTTTGTGGTTACAATGTGCTGCATATATACCATGCTATATGTATATAGCAGTCTATTTTATGTTGATGTCTGCTCAAGTTCGAACACATTCTATAATGACTACCATTTTTTTTCACTCCCTCCATGTTTATGTTTTTGTCATTATTTTTTACTTCTTTTGTGTGGGTGTGTATATGTGTGTATATGTCCCTTGATTTACTGTTGTAATTATGCATGATCTTTCTACTTTTGCCTTTTAACCTTTGTACTAGCTTTAGTGTTGGTTGATCCACTGCTTTTATCTGCTGCTTTTATTAGGGTCAGTGAGAATTTTTTTCTGCATTATTTTCTTATTCATATTTTTTATTTTTTTCTTTCTCTTCTTCAAGAAGTCTCTTTAACAATTCTTGTAATACTGGTTTGGCAGTGATAAATTCCTTCAGGCTTTTCTTGTCTGGGAAGTTCTTTATCTCTAAATGATAACCTTGCTGGGTAGAGTAATCTTGGTGTAAGTCCTTGCTTTTCATCATGTTGAATATTTCATGCTAATCTCTTCTAGCCTGCAAAGTTTCTGTTGAGAAATCAGTTTTATGGGAGCTTCCTTGTAGGTAACAACTACTTTTCTCTTTTAAGATTCTCTCTTTGTTTTTAAACTTTGGGATTTAAATTATGCTGTGTCTGGGTATGGGCCTCTTTAGGTTCATCTTGTTTGTGACCCTCTCTACTTCCTGGACTTGTGTGTCAATTTCCTTTGCCAGGTTAGGGAAGTTTTCCATTGTTATTTCTTCAAATAGATTTTCAGTCCCCAGCTCTATATCTTCTCCTTTTGGTACCCCCATGATGTGATTGTTGTTATGCTTGATGTTGTCCAAGAGGTTCCTTAAACTATCCTCTTTTTTTTTAATCCTTTTTTTTGGTTTGTTTCGATGGAGTCTTTTCTTCTACCTAGTCTTCCAAATCACTGAATTGATCCTCTGCTTCATGTAATTTGATGTTGACTCCAAGTAATGTAGTCTTCATTTCAGTTATTTTATCCCTCATTTCTGACTGGTTATTTTTTATTCCCTATCTCTTTGTTAAAGTTTTCACTGAGATCATTTATTCTTCCCCTAAGCTCATTGAGCATCCTTATAACCAGTGTTTTAAACTCTGCATCTGGCAGATTGCTTGCCTCCATTTTTTTTTTTTTTTTAGTTTTGTCCTGTTCTTTTATTTGGTACATGCTTTTTGTCTCATTTTGGCTGTCTCTCTAGGTTTATGTTTATTAGGAAGAGCTACTACATCTCTCAGTCTTGGCAGAGTGGCCTTATGTAGCAGTGGTGCAATCTCCCTATTTACCTGAGCTTGGTGCTCCAGGATTTTCCCTGAGTCAGTTGTGTGTGCCCTCCTGTTGTAGTTGAGCCTTGATTGCTGTTGGCACATCAGTGAATAGGATTGATGCTTAGGCTGTCTGTCTGTGAGGACTGGCAGTGATTGTAGTGGACAAACTGTTGTGGATTTGCTTTAGTGGGGTTCTGGTGCCCAATGAGTCCACCCTTTGGGTATGTCATCTGTGGCACTAATTGGGTGGTGCTCTGGTGTGCTCTGAAGCTGGCCACCAGGTGTGTTGGTTCTGGGGTCTCTTAGGGTGGGGCTCTCATGCAAGCCAAGGTCAGGCACTGCCTGTATCTGGCCTGGGGCCAACCTGGTAAGAAGAAGGGTACACTTTGGAAGCCTTGGGGTGGGATTTTGTACCTGAATGAGGACTCACCTCATTTAGCTTCTCTCTGCCCTAAAAGTTGTGGAAGTCAAGGGAATATGCCCCAGCTATGCCAAAAAACTTTAATGGAGAACGTTTCTGAAGGTGAAGGAAATGATTTCAAATGTTAGCTTATATAAAAAAAATAGTTTATAAGGCATTAAATACTACAGGGATGATTTTGCTGATTGATAAGTTTACTTACTGATCCAGAAACATTCAGAACTTATTTTTTATACTCAATTAAATTTTCTTCATAGATACCAATTTTGTTAATGCTTTTTCAGTTACACCTGTGGTGTCACAAAGAAAGTTACAAGAGCTCCTTAATTATTGCATAGCTTTTTCTATCTTTGTGAGGGGAAAATGTACTGTTCAGATGTCTCTGTCAAACTTCCCCTGAATTATAAGGCTATGTACTTGAACCTCACTGAAGATTTAGAAGACAGTATTCTTTCTGTACAGGAGTCCTTACTTGATGTAAGTATAAAATATTTATTTGTTATTTTTCCCCTGTATAATGTGTGGGCATAGTCTTTTTCCTTAAAGCAGTGATACAAAATTATCGACATAACAGGTTAGACTATTTAAAAAGACTTCATAGATGTTTTTTTTCTTCTTAGTAAATTTTGTGTTTGTAAAATCACTTTATTTTTCACTTGAGGCTCACATGTAATATACTAACATTTTGATATATTCTGTTTGGTTTTTAGTATTGTCTCTTTTGTGTTTCTTATTATTTATATCTTTGGATCAGCTCTGAGATGGCTGACTCTCAAAATGATTTTTCAATAACCTTGCACGGGCAGGTGGCCAATCAGTCAAGGCCTGCCTTATTTATATTAGTGTCAAATAAATTTTCAAATGAAGATAACTTGTCATTGAATAGAATATTTTTCTCTAATGTAAGAATATTTGTAAAGAACCAAATGCATTGAGAAAATCTTTTTTTAAAAAAGTTATCCAGTGAATATTAGAAATATATAAGGGAGTGAGGAAGTATACCTCCCTTCCCACCGCACACACCTATTTTCCATTTCCAAGTTTGATTTCACCAAAACGAACTTAACAATTGGAGCATACCTTTCAGACCTTTCTTAAAATATTTTTATTTAACTTTTACCATATGTATTTAGTTTATGAAAGTTTTTTTTATTATAAATGTAATTCTCAGATATGTTTTATAACTACACTTTATTTTTTATTATAATGATAAAGTGGGGAAAATCTGTCATAGGCTAAGAAATGTTTCATTTTCTTCCTCCAGGGTTTTACACAGAGTATTTAATATCTTTAAATTTTACTCATTGCATAATTTTATGGGATTGATTTATGTACTGTGGAGGGCCTCAGTCAACTTATTTATTTAACTGGTGCTTAATTTGAAAGAGAAGGCATCATAAACAGTCTTTTAACTATTTAGTAATATAGTATTTGAATCTGTTACAGTTACTTTGGGATTTGATAATGTATTGGGATTTGAGGAAAAACATTTACTGATAGATATTAAAATTCAACAGATTAGACCATTCATCTCTTTATCACAGTTTATCTGGAAACTTAAATGAATTTATTCTATATCTAGTTTTTATAGTGAGAATGCTAAAGATAAGAGTTTTCTAGAAAAAAAAATTGGAGATCAAAGTCAGATGCTTTTATTGTTAGTTTTCGAGTTACGCTTTTGAGAGTGCAACCTGTAGAAACCTGAATCTTACATCTCTTTTTACTCAACTGTTTTACAACAGCTGAATATTGCATATCTTTTCATCATTGGGATTAGATGGCTGTCTACTAATTAATCACTCCCTAGGAGGTTTTTGCCACATTTTTAGAGCTTTTAATAAGGGCTTCTAGGCCACCTGCTTCTTTTTCTGCTGTTCTCACCACCTGGGCAAAGCCAGTCTGGCAGTTCAGATTTCCTGCAGGAAGTCTGGTAATCAAGTCCCCAAGGCCTGGTTTCTGGTAGAATAGGATTCTGAGACTCACATCTACCCTGCGATAACATAATAGTGGTTGTACCCTTATTACGACGTGCTGTGTTTCCAGAAAGAAGTTTTTAAGTTCTAATGCAATGTTATGTGTGTTTAAATCTAAAACCTTTGTAGAAAAAAATAAAGCCTTCTAATAGAAATCCTGAACTGATCTATTCCCTTTTCCCCAAGTGAAATGGTGAAAGTAATTGGTGAGGAATTGATGACATTATTAAATGTAGAAATTAGGAACTTCTTTGACTTCTGCAGTTGATCACTCGTTCCAGGGCAGCTTTGGTTTGGCATCTTGATCTAAGTCAGTGTGCTATTGACGCCGACTCTCCCGTCTCAGTTGCAGCAGTTACTCACAGACCTGCCCCATGATATGCTGGATGACGACCTGTCCTCCCCTGAGCTCCACTCCTCGGACTGCAGCGAGGACGACACAGAGGGACGGTAAGGGCGCGAAGCATCTTCATATGTGTATTGCATTCTGTAAGTGTCCGTCTTTTGATTCTCTGCAGGTTATAACAATGTATGTGATTATAAAATTGTGGACTAATTCTTAAGCTTGTAGGTAAAGGTTGGAGGGAAAACATGTTAAAATCTTGGGGTTCTTTGTGATAGCTGCGTCCAAATAAATGATAAGCTCTAAACCAAAATGTTGATTTTTCTCAAGACCTCATCCTTCTGAGCAATTGGAGATAAACTGGAATGACCATCAGGTGCTGCCTAAATCTAAAAGTGCAAACGTGAGTATCTGGTGTGATAATGATTTTGATGAGGGTGGGACTAGATCTTAGTGCTTTTGTCTTACTCATGTTATCTAATAGGACTATAATGAGATTCGGGATATATACATGGGAGAGAAAATCGGCAATGGCTGGGAAGAGAATCCAAGTAAGAGTGAAGAGCAGCATCCTGGGTACCATCCCGAAGAAGGTGGAGATGAAGGCGGAAGGGGTTACAGTCCTCCGAGTAAATATGAACAGACTGATTTATATCACCTTCCTGAAGACTTTAGGCCATTTACCAATGGTCAGAAGCAGGAATTTAATAATCAGCCAGCCAATGTAATTAAATTTTCAGATCCTCAAAGGAATCATTTTCAGGTATTATAAGAACTTGACTTTTAAGAATTTGCTTAAATGTGCCCACACACGTGTCTGTTTAAGGAATGTATATAAGTACAAGGATAAGATTTATAAGTATAAACAATTTTGAGAGTGCATTTATTCAGGCTCATGCTGAATTAGTCATGCTGGTTTCTGTTTACAATCTAACGAAATCATGATCTTAAGTCAGAATTTTGAAATATCATAGAGGCTTTATGGAGACAGTTAATTAAACATTAAGAATTAAGCTTGTCAAAGAATACTATTCCTCATTTACTGCTGTTTCAGGCTTCTACCACTTCACTATGCTTTAGTGAGAAGCTATGTTCAGATATCTTGATATAGCTTTTTATTTTTTTTAATATATTGATTTTAGAGAGAGGAACGGAGAGAGAAAGCAAGACATCAATTTGTTATTCAACTTATTTATGCATTTATTGGTTGATTCTTGTGTGTGCCCTGACCTGGGATTGAACCCACAACCTTGTCATATTGGGATGATGCGCTAACCAACTGAGCTACCTGGCCAAAGCTGATACAGTTTTAAAGCAGTAAATCTATTTATTTAATTATCGTGACCACCCTTATAACACATTTTAGGTCAAACACTTCAAAGCTGATACCTGTTTTGTGATAATAATGGCAGTAGATGGGATGAATGTTAAGGAAAATTATTTTTTTATTTTTTTTTACTTAACCCTGTCAAAGTTTAATGAAGTAAGACCTTAGGATATAGTTAGCTATTTCTTAGACTTTCTTAATGATAATGAATGCCTCATTTTGCCAGTATCTATTCTGTGTCCCCCAATGACAGGATGATTTTTTTTTCTTTTAAAGTGTCATTTTCTCTTCTGTCTCTGTAGAATAGTATTCATTCCACAAAAGTTATTGAATATTTATTACATATGAAGCATTGTATTACATGTTCTTGGATATGTGTATTTTTGTGTTCCCAGGATGTTGGCATCATCTAAATCATTCTTAAATATTTCTATGCAGTCTTGTTAGAATTCTCCTGTGTTATTTATGGGATTGGCCTGTTATAAGCTCAAAAGTCCAATTAAGACGTGAGAAATTATATTTCATAGACTTTCAGTGTTAAATAACAATAAGTTATTTTAAAGCAAAGATGTCTGTATAAAATTTTAATTGTACCACAATTAAGTTTTGTAACAAAATTAAGGTGATTCAGGTAATTTTTGAGGAAAAGGCCAAATCCTAATTGTCAATTTCATTTATCATCTTATAATAGCAATTCGGTGCATCACAAGCTCCCAGTTGTCAAGTGTTGGAACCGCCGTATACAGTGGTATATAAACCTTACCAGTCTCCTGCTCAGCACAGTGACTCACCAGCCCAGGAGATAGCAGGAGGTGACACATTTGAAGGCCTGCAACAACAATTCTTAGGAGCTAATGAAAGTATGTATCGGGTTTATATTTTTTAATGATTGGAGAATGTTAAACACGTTATGCATGTTCAAGAATTATTTCTTTTTTTAAATATGGTGATTGAATTGTGGTTGGTTTTTAAAAAGAACCCTTATTGTTGGTGATATAGCTGAAGTATTTATGAATAAACTGATATGAAGTCTAGGATTTACTTCAAATAATATGGTGATGGGATTCTTTGCGCTCTTTTTTCTACCTTCTTATATATTTGAAATTTTCCATAATAAAAACAAACATAAAATTTTCTCAATTTTACATTTGAGTCATTGTAATTGGTTCAGATTTTTCATTAGTTTTATGGATTTCTAACTGAAGTCTAATTTGGAAAAAGAAATATAGTTTTCCCTTTATTCTAGATTTTTTGTTATATAGAAATGTAATTTAGTAAATCAGCCATTATCATCTTAATTTTTCCTTTTGATTTTTAAAATTTTAATGTAATAATTAGACAACTCTGATATAAATTACTTTATGTTCAGAATTGAAACTGGACTCCTATCTCAGGTTTAGTCCTGTGGCACTTACCAACATTTTTTTTTTGGATTGTATATGTATAAATATGAAAATGAGAAAAGTAGCTATGAGAGCATTTTGAGGAGATAAAATACCCAAAACCAAAAATCAAAACGTTTACTTAGACTGACCTGAATTTGTGTTGTCATACATTCAACTTGCATTGTCTACCCTCGGGCATGTGAAAAAGCTAATTGTTGTGCACTTGAAGAACCATAGTGATTCTAGGGTGTGACAGCAAGTTTTTTGTTTGTTTGTCTTACATTTAAGAAATGGGCTGGTAGGGGAAGGGAGTCATATTGCATAGTGTAGGTTTCCTGGGCTACAGCCAAAGGGAAAGCTAGCCTTCAGGCTCTAACTCCATATAGGCTCAGGCTCCAGACTCACAGGCTCTCGAGGAGTCAAAGCAAACATGGGGTGCTGGGGTCCAACCCCAGCGGGTCCAGGGGTCCCCAAAGGTGTGGACGGAGTCGGCGAAGAAGGAATGACACGGAGACAGCCTTCAGTTGATCAGCAGCCTCGTCAGGACCTCTAGCCAGGATCTCCAGCCAAAGTTCTGGTCGGGATCTCCAGCGAAGTTCTGGTTAGGATCTGATCAGGATCTGATGTTTATTGTCTTGTTACATCTATATTTATACCAGCCGATTTTAATCCTGTCAATTTCTATTACAAAGGTTAGGGCGTTTCTTATCTCCATTCCAGGGAGTAAAGATTATGTAGCTTAACTACCCGCCTGGCACTTAGTTAAGGGGTTGTATCCCCTCCCCAACCCCGGGGAAAAAGCCCCACCTGGGGAAACAACCTTTCTCGGAGAGGTGACCCTGGTTAAAACACATGGCACTAAGGAGAGCAAACATATCAAGAACAATATGCTATATATGCCAGGTCCCTTGAAACATACGCTGTGCAGATGTTTCTTCCCTGCAGCGACTGTGTCAAGCAGCAAGGATGGACCGGCCCCCGGCAATGGGGGTGGCCCCTCTTTGTTTATGCCACTGTGGCGTGGCGTGAAGAGATGCGGAAGTGGACAGTGAGTGGCAGAACTGGTTTGGGGATGTGTCCATTAGCACCACCACAGGGGCCTGAGGTGTAGACGCCTTCAGTTCTGCATATATAACCTTTTATCATTTTCTTAATCTGCATTTTGTCAAGTTGATTTATTTTTTGTTTACATCAGTTACACATGTGCCTAAATTTGACGTTTGGAGGTTAACTGAGTAACTTAATGGCAGAGCCAGGTTTAGTGACTGCGGCTTCTTAGAAACAGTTGTTTAAAAAGATGACCTTGGAGAGAGGTGTGGCTTGTACACTGTGTTTACCCCTGGGCTAGCCCTCCTCTAAGGCTGGAGAGAAATTTAACTTCTAACAAAGTTTTCAGTCTTCAGTTTTTTGTTGTTTTTTTTTGGGGTCGGGGGGGGAGGTTTAACCATATCTCTTTTTAAAAAGAGGCCTGCTTTGTTTGCTAGCAAGTAGGAGCAGTGGTCTAGTAGAAAATGCATTTGTCATTATGTAGTTTAAGCATTATTTTCCTGTGAATCCCCCACACCCCCCAATCATTTTAAAGTGCTCCCTAATGTGACTTTAATTATTTGTGAAAGAAGTCCTCGAAATCCTTTATTAATCTATTCATTACTTTATTAATTCAGCAGTTATGTGCCAGCATAAACATGAATACTATGTAATCCCCACTCCTGCTTATAATAGACTAGAGGCCCGGTGCACAAAAATTTGTGCACTCGGGTGGGGGGGGGGCGATCCCCCAGCCCGGCCTGTGCCCTCTCGAAGTCTGGGACCCCTCGGGAGATAACCACCTGCTGGCTTAGGCCTGCTCTCAGGTGGCAGAGGGCAGGCCCAATCCCTAGGTGCAGCCCCTGGTCGGGCTCAGAGCAAGGCCGATTGGGGAGTTGGGGCGCTGCCCCCTGTCATGCACAGAGCAGGGCGGATCGGGAGGTTGCGATGCCACCCTCAGTCACGCTCAGGGTAGGGCCGATTGGGGGGTTGGGGCCCCGCCCCCTGTCACACTCAAGGCAGGGTCGATGGGGAGGTTGCGGCAGCACCCCCTGTCATGCACAGAGCAAGGCCGATCAGGGGGTTGGGGCGCTGCCCCCTGTCACTCACAGAGCAGGGCCCATCAGGGGGGGTTGGGGCTCTGTATCCTGTCACACACAGAGCAGGGTTGATCAGAGGGTTGGGGAGCTCCCCCCTGTCATGCACAGAGCAGGGCCGATCAGGGGGTTGGGGAGCGGTGGGGGTCCCCACTGGGGTGCCTGGCCAGCCTGGATGAGGGGATGATGGCTGTTTGCAGCTGGTCACACACCCTTCAGGGTGGGGGTCCCCACTGGGGTGCCTGGCCAGCCTGGATGAGGGGATGATGGCTGTTTGCAGCTGGTCACACCCCCTTCAGGGTGGGGGTCCCCACTGGGGTGCCTGGCCAGCCTGGATGAGGGGATGATGGCTGTTTGCAGCTGGTCACACCCCCTTCAGGGTGGGGGTCCCCACTGGGGTGCCTGGCCAGCCTGGATGAGGGGATGATTGCTGTTTGCCGCTGGTCACACCCCCTTCAGGGTGGGGGTCCCCACTGGGGTGCCTGGCCAGTCTGGGTGAGGGGCTGAGGGCTGCTTTCAGGCTGGCGGTTGTTGACTGAAGCTCCCAACCGCTCCTTTTTTTTCTCTTTTTTTATTTTATTCTGGGCCAGCTTTAGCTCTGGCTCTAGCTCTGAGGCTTCGTATCTGGTTTGTTTGCCATTCTATAATCGAAACAATGTATAACTTCAGCTCTGAGATCCCGGCAGGCTGAAAGCTGGTTTCTAGGGTTTTGTTTAGCTTCTTATTTGCAACATAGTACATAGTTGCTTAGAGTTGCAACTCAGAGGCTGGCAAGTGAGGCGGGGAACGTTGGAGTCTGCAGTCACTGAAGCAAGGAAGCCTCATGTTCGCTTCCAGCTGCCTGGCTGCCGGCCGCCATCTTGGCTGACAGTTAATTTGCATAAGGATATGCTGATTAGCCAATGGGAAGGGTAGCGGTCATACGCCAATTACCATGTTTCTCTTTTATTAGTGTAGATATTTTGAGGAGGATATCTAGAAATGTTTTTAAAAAGTGGTTTTATAGAAGCTGATGTACTTATTTTTCAATTTTATGAGGTCATAGAACTCTATTCCATTGTAATGGTGTCAATGTAAGAAATGTCCAAACCTGTAGAAAATTTTTATGAGTTTATTTGAGCCAACTGATGGCACTGCCGGGGAACATATGCTCCGAGAATGGCAGCTTTGCAGCTTATTTTATGCATTAGAATCAAAGAAGAAGACATAAGGAAGGAGGATGAAATCCAGTGCTGGTAGGTTAAGGGGCTGGGAGAAAGCATAGCAGGAAGAACTCTAGCATTGGATAAGAGGCAAAATGGAGAAACACATACTTTTACCTGGTGGGTACGGGGTAGTTAATTAAATTTGCAGCACATAGAGATGGCCTATGGAGGACAAGATAGCAATAGGGTTCTATGGTCTTGCGCTCTGGTGCCTGCAGTTATACTTCGAGGGGTAGGAAAAGAAAATTACTTTGTTATTTCAAAGCCTTGTTGTCCTGGATGTATCAGAACAATGGACAGGGTTTCCTTAAGGTAAAGATTGACCTCTACCAATGATGCCATAGACTGGGACGTGACTGCCCACCGTGACCTGCCCAGTTAGGATGTGACCAGATCATCTGTGTGGTTACTTTTGGTCACAGAGCTTGTCAGCCTGCCGTGTGTTCCCCTGAGCCTGTCAGGTTTATTGCATAGCCTGGCACATTTTCGTATATATTTATTTTTAATTAGCCAAAAGGGTAGTGATGAAGGGTTATACTCTATAAACTAGTGACATTTCAAACTTTTCTGGCAGTGAGCACAGTAAGAAGTACATTTTGTACAATGTGATGGGGTCTACAATACTTATCTAGGTAAATAAGTGTATGTAACTAAAACACACGTTCCACAAAATCACAAAATAGTACTCATTTGTACTACATGATGGACTCTGATATGTTCTATTATAGTCTATGTTTTTTGTTTCTTTAAGAAATGCTAGCCACAGTTCACTGAATTGTTTTCATGATACTCCGATGAGTAGTACCCACAGTTTGGGGAAACACTGCCCTAAATGACCACAGATTTATATTTTGGTATGCTTTTATCTAATAAATTGTCTTTCATTCCAAATCAGGTTCTTCAGAAAATATGCAGATCATTCAACTTCAGGTTCTTAACAAAGCAAAAGAGAGGCAACTGGACAATTTAGTTGAAAAGTTAAATGAAAGTGAGCGTCAGATCAGGTATCTGAATCACCAGCTTCTGATCATCACAGGTAAGATGACAGCTGTCACTTATGAGGTGTGCTGGAGCTTAGATGTCTTGTTTCCAAGATCCTCATTTTAAATATGAAGCTCAGCGAGCTGACGTATTTGGTCAGAGGGATCATAGTGAGTCAGTCCGAAGGAAACAAAACCCAGGCCTGTGACACCTTTCTTTGGATGACTTCTCTCCAGAGCAGACTGCTTTGAGGTCCTCATTTCCCCCCACTTCTTCCTCCTCTTCTTTCTGTTAGGCTGTTAGAATAAGTGAACATTATTTAACTATGCTGATGGCATCCTGTCCTGAAAATTGGTTGAGGAATTTATCTTGGATGAAGTGTTACAATACCCAGTGAGACTTGGGATTAGTTTGCAAGATATTTTCTGAGCCTACAAATTAGCATCATATTTTAATCCAGTGGTTCTCAACCTTGGCTGCACATTAGAATCACTTGGGAATCTTTTTAAAATCCTGATTTCTGGGCCCCATCCTCCGGAAATTCTGTTTCTTTGTTACTAATGTTGTGGCCTCACCTCATAACAAAGAAACAGAATTTCTGGAGGATGAGGCCCAGAAATCAGGATTTTAAAAAGATTCCCAAGTGATTCTAATGTGCAGCCAAGGTTGAGAACCACTGCTTTAATCCAAGGAAGAGACAGTGACCCTGAACTCCTGCAGGTGTGCCAAGGAGAACATGGAGCCACACCTGGGAAAAGCACACAAAGTAAATACAGATTCAAACTCTAATTGCTTACTCTTCGTGCTTTCTGTAGTTTCGGTCCATGTTGAACGTTTCATTTATAGAATAATTTTGTGACTGCACTCCAGCTCATTTCAAACTTAATTGATAGTGATAAAGGCATCTTTCTGTAGTGATCATACATTTTATTTTGAGAGAAGCATTTGTAGGCTATCATATAAAGTATGTGGGAAGAATTTAAGGTTAGGTGAATTTAAGAGTTCATTGCAAGTATGTATAGAACGTAATTAGTCTTCAGATTCCTTTTTAAAAAAAATACATTTTTATTAATTTCAGAGAGGAAGGGAGAGGGAGAGATAGAAATATCAGTGATGAGAGAGAATCATTGATAGGCTGCCTCGTGCATGCCCCACACTGGGGATCGAGCCCAAAACCTGACCGGGAATCGAACCATGACCTCCTTAGGCCCGCTCCCTCGAAGCTCAACCACTCAGCCATGCTGGCTGGGCCCTCAGATTTCTTTCCTGATTAACGGTTTTGTCATATCTGTGTAGCTTCTCAAATAAATAGATGCTGAAGTCATTGTTAGGAAATCTTTTAGTGCCCAAAGGGATACAATCAGATTTTTGAAGGAAGAGGTTCTGGTTGTCTAAATTTTTTTGGTGTCACTCAGGCATTCATTTTTGGAACTTTTCTGGTTTTCTCTAAATCAGCTAAAGTTCATTATCTGAATTAAATTGAATGCAACAACTTTTATATGTGATATAGATCTGATATTTGATAGAGATTGTGACAATTGGGGTCCCTTTACAGTAACATATTATTCCCATAAACATTTTTAATGTCCCAGATGAAAAGGATGGTTTGGCCCTTAGCCTTCGAGAATCACAGAAACTCTTTCAGAATGGAAAAGAAAGAGAGATACAGCTTGAAGCACAAATCAAAGCGCTGGAGACCCAAATACAAGCACTAAAAGTCAAGGAAGAACAGGTAAGTATTTGAACTATTTATGAAAAATTTAGTTACTTAACTTTTGGAATGGTAGGACTAAATTTAGAAGAACTTGGAAGTTCATACTTTCTTCCACCACAAGCCTGCTATTCTTTTCCTTACTTTGGAGGCATGGTGCTCCCATCTATCTACCCAGCCATCTGTACATCAGACATCAGGAAGAAACCCCAGCTTCTCTGTTCCCCTTCATCTGCTACATTCTGTTGAGTCTCCTCATTTCTGTTCACAAGTCCTGAATTTGGGATTTTATCTATTGCAAAAGTCTCTTACTAGTCTCTATTTTTTTTTATCCCTTCTCCGAATTCTCTCTTATGGCCATCTGGTTAGTCTTTCTAAAGTACAGTTCTGATTATGTCTATCCCTTGCCTGTCTCTTCTCTAACTCTCACACTCAAGTCTGTTTGTTGTTTTCGATACTTGTACATGGACAAAACTTTCCACGGCACGCTGCTATTTGATTACCAAGCCCCTGCTCACAGGTTTTCTTCTCCCAAGTCTCCCCTGCTTTCCTTCCCAAACCAACACCAGGCAATTCTCAGACACAAGCTGGGTGTCCAGGAATTCATCAATTCTGACACTGCCTGCACCAACTTTAGACACCAGTTGTAATCCGAGGTTGTTACCTGTACTTCTGATTGAATGGCTGTAAATCAGTGGTTCCCTCGACGCCCTCGTTGGGTCCCATTAATTTTCTAGAGAGGCTCACAGAACTCAGAGTTCTTACTAGATCATCCTATATAATAAAAGCCTAATATACAAATCGACTGAATTGCAGAACGACTGGTCGGCGGGGGGCAGGGCCAGCAAGGGGTGGCACCAGACCAGCCAAGGCAGGTGCCAGCGGACAGAGAGAGGGGACGGCGATTGGGGGGTA